GCGAACCATCTAAGTACTATCGTAAAGTGTCACAATAAAATGAACGAGTTACTCTCCAATAAATATGTGAATGAACTTTTTAATGACATATGTGAGAATATTTTGCTTATAGTAAAATCGTTTAAAGGTATTCCTCCTAACTATAGTATAATAAGTGATGCTCATCAAGTAATGATTTTAAATATTCAAGGCATAGTTGATAATATTAAACCGATTCATTTTAAATTGTTTGATAAAAACATATCTGACCCAGAGTATTTATTAAATCTAAAGAATACAGTGGAGAATTATATTTCAGACATTGGAGTAAACAGAAAAGATTTTGATAGCAAGATAACGCCTTTTAAAAAAATTATTGAGGAAGGGTTGTATTATAATTTTTCTATCACTTATATGTATTTACGTTACTTGGAAAATACTTTCAAAGGATGTAAGTTAAAATATATTCGGTCATTTATGAAATTTTCAAAGTCAATTCGGATGGTTGATGTTATCGTATAACAACAGTTACAAATATATAACAGTTTGTTCTAGTTTTAATGAGTATTAATATTTAGTTCAGAACAACTTCGACGCAAAGCTGTATCTGAGGATATATTCTCTAAATATTTTCAGTGTATTATAAAAATTTCCAATGATTTTTTACATTAATCATATATTATTGTTTTCAAATTGATATTTAAAAATGACCGTTATATATGTTTGTATTATACTTCAATATATCACTTTAATTATGAATATTTACAATATTTATAAAATAAACAATTAAATAAAAGAAAAATTAACGCGTGCGACTATTTATTTTGTAATGGAAGTTTCAGAGCTGAAACTCATTTCTACTAAAGTATTTTGATAGTAGCTTTAACATTTTAATAATAGGTTATCGTTAGACGTGTATGATACTCGCCTATCGATATCGTTGCTAAACAGCGAAAATTAGAAAACTTGTTTATCAATGATATAATATGATTATAAACAATAACATGAATAAATACCAATTCGTGATTTGTTAAATATCTTTGTTAAAATAATTTAAAAAGATAAATTTGGGTGTTGAACATACATCTATCAAGGGCGCTTTCAATAAATTTTATATTAATTTAGTAACATCGCTATCGTTATCACCGCCGGACACTAGAAGGTAAAAACTGATGTCTTAACTACATCCGGACATTACATATTATTATTAAGTGTTGGATCATTGAATATTACCGAGTTCCAAAGGGTCTGTTTTCCTGCGTCTGCGTTATCGCCGCCATCATGTCCCGTTTTGCTGCATGGTTCTATAGTGTAGGTGTTGTCAAAAGTTAACAATTCTTTCTCACGATGCCGCATCCTTGTGCATAATTGTTAACCACATTTGCGTTATCATTTCATTTCATTCATCATTTCATCATCACATTTTGCGATCCAGTGAATTAAAAATAAAATAAATCGCTTCTGCGAAATGTTTGTATCTCTTGAAGTACCGCCGTTCACGACATAACGCATTGCTCGACTTTTTTTGTTTTACCAACGATGCCAATTCATAAGCCATCGACGTCATTGTAGATAAGTGTCTACATATTATTTTTAGCTTCGATACGAAGCTGAAAATGTATTAATGTTACTGTGTTTCCGACTTGACTTTTGAAATTATTCTGGTATTACTGCGTCTTTTAAATATATATTAAATGAAAGCTTATTTTACGTACTATAAGTTAAAAAACCCAGCACAGTGAGGTTGCGGCACATTGGGGACGTGGCATAGTTGGGTTCAGTATATATTTAATCTGGTTTCAATAAAAAAAAATAATTTTAATTTGTTCATTTTTCAAAAAGTTATGGCAGTTTTAAATATCAAAATATTTCATGTTAAACAGTGGTTTTTACATAAAAATTTTAAGTTTTGTTAAATTCGACGGCCCTTTTCTTATAGAAGAAAAGGTGTCGGGACAATTTTTTTTTTTTGAACTTGTAGTATTTATTGTAAGTTTTAATTTGAGATATGTTTAAAGGACGCAGTATTTTTGAAACATATTCAAAAGTTGAAAAAGCTAGTTTTTGTAAAAAAGTTGCTATTTTTAAATTCATTCCTGTGAGCAGGTTGTGTTAGATTTTCAAAAAAATGACATCGAATAAAAGGAAAATATTTAAGGTTTCATCAACGATAAAAAAAATTAAGTTGTTTTGTTAATTTTTAAAAAAGTTATGGTAGTTTTAAGAAAAAAAAGTGAAAAAAATGACAAAATTAACCGATTTGAAAAATTGTAATTTTTTTGGGAATTCCCCCCATTTACGGGGAACGAGAGAACTTTTTTCAATTTTTAAGGGTGATGTCTACAACTAGATACGATTAGTGTTCTTTGGACATATTGTTTATCAAAATCGGTCCAGTGAGAGCTGAAGAAATTTTTACCTTTTCAGCTTCGCATCGAAGCTAAAACAGATTGTAGTATACCAACCAAATCACATAATCATATTAATATAAAAAAAATATAGATAATATATAATATTACAAAGCAATTTTTTTTTTTTTTAAAAAACTGTATCTTTATAAATTGTTTATATTAAATGGATGAATTTATGTTTTTTTGAATAATACATAATAGTTTCAGTGTTTTGGTTTTAAATAAAAAAATATTTAAGTGATGTCTATATTTTTTTATTGCTTTAAGTCATACTGAAAACAATTTTTCTCCTTTTTAAAAATAAAAATTAGATTTTTTGACCTCAATAATTTCATTTTTCAGACTGAATTTCAACCAGTTGTTGCTGTATCTTCTTATTCTGAAATTTCTTACTCTAATTCTCCTCATACCTCACTTTGTTCGTGTTTTGTTAAGAATAGAAATAACAATAATGTCATAAAAAAAACCTAATATAAGAGTAGAATTTTGTATCAATAAATATAACTTTTTGTCTTATCTCAATTCTATATTTTATAATATATTTTCATACAAATAATTTTAATAATAAGCTTAAAACAATAATGAACAAAAATACTAGTATTATTGTGAAAAAAAGCGTCGGGCGCTCAATATACAAAAAATATGGCATAAAGCCCCCACGATTTTTTTCATAATAATACTATTATTTTTCGTTCATTATTGTTTTAAGCTTATTTTTAACTTTTTAGTTAGATAGCTTTAAAGGCGTGTTTTTCAATTTTTTTAAACTATATTTTTTTTTTAGTTTTTATGACATCGCTGTCATAGTCACGGAGTGTTTATTGTAAATTATGACTATCAATAAATATAATTTATGTATTGCCAGTTAGTGTATTTAAAAACTCACAACAATGCGTCGTATGATAACAAAGGCTATAACCTGCGAATATCGTCATAAAAAACTAATTAGCTACCTGTATTTGTATTCCCTGTATATGGATAATGTATGTATTCACTCAAAAAAAAAATTGAATCTTTAAATGTTTATATCAAATAATAAACAATAAGAATTTGTTTATATATATATATATATATATATATAATATTGATGAAACGTACGCATGTACGGGTACGAAAACCAAAAATAAAATTATACAGGTATAGTGTTTGGTAAAGGGGGGGGGTGTGTGTGAATTGTTACGACAGTCTAGTCTCAAGGCCATTGATGACATGATACACTAGAATAATAACAAGTGGCGCGTGGAGAATTACAAACATACATACAGGTGAAACTAATATAAGCGTGTTAAAAATGTTTTATGATAATCAGTGATGATTTATCACGAACTGTTTTTGGCCTAATATCATATAATATATATTTTATAACAGTGGCCAATATTCATTTTTTTTTATTAAATTTTTTTTTTTGTTTATGCAATCCTACCTTATGTTATAAGGGTGTAAACTTTATCTTTTATAATGAAAACATATACATTTTATTAGCTTATATATAAAAAAATTATCTAATTAAGAAAATGACTGGTTATAAACAACTTTTAAAATAGTACTTCATATGTTATTAACATTTTTAAATATAGAGTAGAGAGTGGAGGCAGAGTTATGTGTAATAATGAAAATAACATAATTCACAATACACTTTATACAGAAAAGAACATGAAATTAATATTACATTTTTAATATTTTTAATATTACATTTCAAATATAAATAATGAAATGTTTTGTTTAACTTGTACATTATTTTTATATAGAAAATAAAAAAGTTTTACTTTTTACTTTATTTTATAAATATTTAGCCTATGAGCAGGTAGAGGGTCAGAGTAAAAAAATATACATCTATTAAAAAAGAAAAATACCTAAGGTAATTATAAAAAGTAATTGTTTTGATTCATCCATTTTTAAAATTATAACGTATTAAATTGGAAAAATTTAAATTAAATTTTTGTTGGACGGAGATGTGTGTGGGTGTGAATATGATCTCTCAACCATCCTTTTTTCATGACTTTAAAAAACGTATAAATTAAAAAAAAATCCTTTTTAAAAAGTTATATAAGTTTAATGTTGAAATATAAAGTTTTGAAATAATAATTAGTGGTATTGGTTCCCTAATCATTTTCGATGAGGTGATATATAATTTCATAAGTCATATTTTTTTGGGAATTTCCATTTCTTACTAATCTGATAAGCTGGGACTAGAAACAAATTGGCCCATTATCTTACAGCACAATGACCCAGTGATCATTGAGCTTATAGCTAAAAAGCAGATGGCTGGCCAGACGATTACTGGGAGGAGGCATAGCTACGATTAACAATTTAATCATTTTAAAATTTGATTGCTTAAAAATAATGTAATTTTTTTCATATTGTATAACAAATAATTACACAAATATATCTATAATGAATTTATAGATGGATAATTGGTAAAATGTATAGAGGGGCTAAAATAATTTAAGGTAATTAACTATGGGGATTACATATTATAACTAAAAAAAATAGAACATAGGGACCCTTCAATGAACATAGCAATATGGTCAAAAATTTTTTATTAATACATTTGGTTGAATACATCTGAGTCCACCCCTGGCTGGGACATAAGATTTATAACACTATAAATTAGATCTATTTGAAGCTACTTTATTCATATAATACATAAAATAGATATAAATTTCATACAATTTTTTATTTATTTCTGAACTTAAACATAAATTCAGTTTTACTTACAAATAGATTTTTATAAGACAGATATTATTCATTAGGAGGAATAAATGCCAAGTTTCTTTTGGCTTCTCTTTTAACTTTAGCTTCTTTTTGCTTATCTTCCTTAACTTTTCTTTTTCTTTTTTGTTTTTCTTCTTCTTTAAGGAAATATTCACCAGATTCCAACATTTTATCAATTTTACTTTCGGTTGGAGGCGGCGGAAATGGAGTATAGGGTTTCTTTGCTTTTTTAGAGGTTTTTTTCTTGGGCACATTCTTTGGCTTGAAGTTTGGCAAAAATCTATCCCAATTTTCATTTTTCAACTTGGGATTTCTTTCAAGCTCTCGTTTAATCATTAAAGCTTTTATGTTATAAATTGGATGTATATTTTTCATAGTCTCAATTACTATACGTCGCACCTATAATTAAAACAAAGTACATCTGTTAATTGAAATATAGAAATAGTCAAGAGAACTTATAACTTCAGTTTCACTCAATCTGATTTAATTTTTTCAATTAATAAAATTTAATAATATTAAATAAAAATGTTTATACCTGTTGTAAGCCTTTATAAGGGCCAAGAGCTGCAACAGTTTGTCCTTGAACTAGTACATAACAATTAGTTAATAGTTCTATAGATTTGAGAGTGCATCCTCCAGGGCCGATAAGTCTTTGTCTTCTTTTAACAAACTTGTCACGATTTCGTACCAAAGAACCAATTTTAATAATATCAGCTGCCATGTCATCTTGCATAACACGTATAGCATGTTCATAAGGAACACTTCTTGACAATAATTTTATTAAATCTCTTGCTTTTAATATTGACGCAGGATCCCATGTCTTACGAGTTGTACGTACAGTCATGCTACCTTCTAATAAGTCCAGATCAGCTTTGATATTATACTTAGATAAAGCATTTTCCACTAATGGCCAACACTCCTTTAAATAGGTTTCACGATATTTTGGAAATAAAGTAGCAAATGAACTTTCCTCCAATAACCCATGTGGGTTGTCTTCAGGACGAAATTCAGGTATTTCTGTCTTCCACGCGTTTTCCATTAATAAAATTTAAACTAAAATTTATTTTACCATATAAATAATAAGTATAAAACTGTACTCCATGTGTGACTTAATTAACATTAAAATATATTTGTTTTATCTCTATTAAAAAATAAAAGAGTCTAGAAAACGTTTACAAATGCACTAAAACAGAATGTTTCACAGGACAAAAATAAAAATAATAATCAACTAAAAAGTGAAAATTAAATTATGAAGTGGTTAAAAAATATATTTATTAATAAGTCAGTATATTTATCATTTATTTTGCTATACCTTTTAGAAAAAATTTAAGTGAAAAGTGTTTAACAATAAAGAATAGTCAGTTTTACTGATACAATAAACAGATTGAGTTTTAACAAAATTTCTGATGGTGTTCAATTTTTAGAAATGTAAAAATATTTTTATACCCTATTTATATAATTGATAAATTTGGGAAGACTTACTTATTTTATATTTTAATACTTTTAATTCATAGCTAAAAATTGTAAAAATTCAAATTTTTGTTCGACTGAATAATAATCACAATAATAAATAATTACATGTGTAACTAAGTTATCTTTTATATTTTCATTATGATTAAATTTATCAGCAAATCTTAATTCTGTTACCATGGTTAATAGATCATAACCTTAATTTATACAATATTGAACTTGTCACCGCTGGTGGCGCTACTGATTTTTATAGAAATCCTAATCATTTCTTTTGGTTGTTGAACTAAACAAATACTTTTTTGCACCACACGTGTATAATTTTGACAATTTTCTGAATATTTGTCAATTTTTTAGCCAAACTTAAAGATTTGAACATGGGTTTTGCTAACGTATGGTACTCTCACCCAAGACGTTATGGTCAAGGATCCCGTTACTGGTAAACACAATTTTTACATATATTATTTGAAAGTTGTACTGAAATAACTAGTTAAATGTTGTAAATATCTACTTAATCTTTATTAAGTTATTATTTTATTTAAATAAAATATTCTACATTTGTCTTGTAGTCGAGCATGTACCAACAAACATGGTCTCATAAGGAAATACGGGATTAACCTATGCCGTCAATGTTTCCGTGAATATGCTAATGATATTGGATTCAAAAAAGTAAGATAATAAAATATTTATTAAATCAAAATAAATATATTTTTCAAAAGAGTATTCTTTTTGAGTATTTTTTATACCCTTTAACATTTAATTATTTTTATTAAATAAATATAAATTTATGTTCTATTAAACTACAATTTCTGATACATGAACTCAAATATCAGATCTTGAAATTATGACTTAAAACTTTTATTACATATAATTTATTTATGATAATTATGTATATTTCTTGGTAATAAATAATTAAAATATTGCTTATGTTACAGATGGACTAAGAACAGTTTTCAAAATGCTTGACTAAGTTTAACATCAATACATTTTGTATTATGATCTTTTGATTTTTGTCTATACTATTTAAGTAAATAAAAATAAAATAAAGAAATTGTATTTATTATTATTATTATTCTAATGACCTCTTATTGCAGCAATTTAAAATTTGTGAAATTTAAGTATTTAATTTTATTTTTACCAATAATAATTATTTTTTGCATATTAAGTTAACCTTAAAATTGAACTTGTACACAGTGTGTCCAGGATGTACAAAAAATTTTATTCTGTTTATGGTGGAATAACCACTATTGTAGGTTATTAAGTGATAACTAGAGTATAATCTTTATAAAGACATAAAAAACTGCCCGTTTTTAAAATGAGAATAAAATTTTTAGGTTTGTGTATGTCAGTTAAATTTTTGTAGTGTATAGTATCATATTGTTTGTTAAGTTCTGACGTGAATTTATGTTCACAATACTAAGTAGTATTATTATTAATACTCCGTTTAGTAAACTATCCTTTAGTAATTATTAATGAACAATTATTAAACATTTTTGAGTTATAATTGTGAAATTATGGAATTAAATAGAAGTGAGTTCATTTCTATAGTTATTCGTATGACTTTATTGTCTACTTGTGCATATTTTGGTACCAAATGGTTAATAGGGCAGCTGGATCCAACTAATCTACAGAAAAAAAAATCTAAGCAAACGGTAACAAATAAAAGACAATCAAGTAATTTTTTGTTGAATTGAGTTATACTTTTATTATGTTCTAGGCATTCATAAAATTTAAAAAGCTCGGTTTGGAAGTAAAAAATGTAAGTGTGTAGGTTATTGATTATTAAATATTTTTTTAATTGATAGCTTAAAGTAGGAAAATTTAAGCAAGGGAGCATTCTTATAAGTCGTAAAATAAATTTTAGACCAAATATTCATTATTATAAAGTACCCATTGTTGTAATTTTTTTTTTTATCATTACATAATTTGAAAAGAGATTAAGTCCTTAAAATAATAACTGAGAAAAGTCTTTGAAATTATTTTTGATTAATACTAGATATTATCAAGTATGATAGAAATTTGGGATGCTTTTTTTCTCTTTGCACTCTTTAAATTTGAGTGTTGTTAAATCCTGGTAATCAAAATTTTCAGTTAACAGATCACGAGTTGATGATTGCTAGTCATCTTGTGAATCCAAACGATATTAATGTGTCATGGAATAACATAGCTGGTCTTGGTCAAGTAATAGATGAAATTAAAGAAACTGTGATATTTCCTGTTCAACGTAAAGAATTGCTAAGAAATTCTGTGTTAACTAAACCACCGAAAGGTAATATTTTAGATTATTAAAATAAATTATTTCTAAACAATTTTTATTTTCTAGGCGTTTTACTTTATGGACCTCCAGGTTGTGGCAAAACTATGATTGCAAAAGCTACTGCTCGTGATGCTGGTATGAATTTCTTGTATTTAGATGTTTCATTGTTGACTGATAAATGGTACGGAGAAAGTCAAAAATTAGCAGGAGCTGTCTTTAGTTTAGCACAAAAGCTTCAACCATGTATAATATTTATTGATGAAATTGGTATGAATAAATTAAATTTATTTTTTAAGCATTTAAATTTACATAATTTATTGCCACTTATAAACTAAGAAAAAATTATGCTTGTAGACTGATATTCAAATCAAAGTCTCCTTCTATTTGATTTAGAATTTTTTAGTACAAACAGTTATATTGAATCCCTAATTTCCTTATTTTTAATGATTATATTTAACTATAAAACTACTAATTATTCTTAATTCTGCTCTTTTTAAACAACATACTTCCTTTACATTCATCTATTTTCACTTAAATTTAAGGTCTTTTTATTAAGTGTAAAACTTAAATAATATTTCTGATGTATGATTTTCACATTTTTTAATTAATAATTTTTTTATATTTAATATTCATTAATGATTAACATAGGCAAAATTTAAATAGAATGTCTATTATGTAATTTCGCCCCTTTTAAAAAATATTTCTTTATAAAAATACATTTTATCTCTTCATTTTTAGGAGACTCAAACAAATGTTTGGAGCGAAGACTCTTTCTGATCTCTAGTTTGTACTTATAATTTAGTATAAGTGATTTATATTTGAATAGAATATGTTAAAAAAGCTTAAGTAAACATTTAGAGCATGGAAAATTTTGCCTTTTAAATGACGGCAAGATAATAAATTCTTGCATAAGTAAAATAATATTAATATAATAGATATTATTGATAAATTTTTTAACAAGATAATTACTAAAAGAAAAACTATATATTTCAATTACAAAAATTTATTATGAAAAACATTTGAACAAATTTTTACCATCAATCATTTTGTTGTGGAGAAAAAGGAAGGTTAAATTTTTTCAGAAATAAAAAAATGTTTATTTTTGTGTATTTTAGACTCATTTCTTAGATCAAGAACTCAAAATGACCACGAAGCAACAGCTATGATGAAAGCACAATTTATGATGTTGTGGGATGGTTTATCTACAGATCCTGATTGCACAGTAATAGTTATGGGAGCTACAAATAGACCTAGGGATTTAGACCCAGCTATACTTAGGCGGATGCCAGCCACTTTTGAAATCTCTTTGCCAGTAAGTAAAAAATTTAAAAAAGGCTATTTCTTAAAAGCTATATTAGCCACTATGATATGTAGTGTATTATAACAAGTAATGTTATAATACAAGGCAATTCTCTTATCATTAGTCATTCGATTTGTCTTACAAAAATAATTTTTGGTATTTTTTAGTGCCATATATTTCTTGATTTACCAGTAATTAATAATTTTTTAAATTCATCTTTTTTATCTTATAGGGGTAACAACTTAATTTTTTTTTTAGTGAAAATACAATTATTTAATAATCTTGTAAATAAGAAAATTACCTAATTGAAAAAATGACTGGTCTATGGGGTGGATCATTGAAATTTTAATTTATATTGTTATTTTTGATATGATAATTTTTAGTAGTATATTATAAAAATAATAATATCTTATTTTTATACAGTAGAAACTCAATTAACCAACACTATTGGGACAAATTTTGTGATGGTTAATCAAATTGACAGTTAATAGATATTTTACAAAATAACAAATTGATTTTCTAAGCTACAAATATCAAAATGAAAAATATTCGTACTAATATAATTTAAATATAAAACAAATTAAATTTAAACTAAGTAATTAATCATTGTTTTTGTCTCTTTGAATCTCTATCAAGATCCTTATATTTTATTGGCTTTATGGTTTTATGAATTTTACATTTCCATTAGTACTTTGCATTTGTGATATATGTTGATAAATTTTTTCGCAACATGTTTTACGTCACAAACAATGGTCCTTCCAACATTATAAATCTGAACAATATTTGTAGGACATATACCTTACCTTGATCATTTTAATAATTTCCAGTTTTTTATTTAATTCTAATACAACACATTTCTGCTTTATACCCATATTTAAAACAACAAATGGTAACATACTTGTGGGCTAGTTGTTGGTTACTGATAAAATTGAATGAAAATTTATAATATGTGTTTGTTCATATTATGTTAATTGTTTACATTGAATAGTCAGATCTATTTTAATATGTTATGTACATTTTCAACTATTGCTGCGTTAGATTCATATTAATAAGTTTTCACCATTAATTTCTTAAACTATTTTTTATATCTTGACAACGATGAGTAATAATGAGTGCTAGAAAAAAGAGTGTTGGTTAATTTAACTTACATTGTATTAGAAAATATTAAAAATATAATTCTAATAAATGCATTTAGATTAATTTAGTTATGTTGAAAAAATCATAAGTACATTTGAAGCATTTAGAATGCTATCTGAGTAAGTGGTGTCTATTATAACTGGAAACAATAATGTTTACATTTACATTTTTAATTTTATATATAAGAAAAAATATTTTTATTAAGTTATTTTTTATTGATTTTTTTCAAATGTGAACTTCTAGGTACAATTAATTATTTACACTTTCTCTGTGTATCCAACTCAATTTCTAACATATAAATATGATTCTCACATTCTAAATATCTTGTTTAAAAGAAGCTTTTATAGAAATCTATAAATTAAACTAAGCATTTCTCATTTTTTGAACCATGTTTTTTTTACGACGTTCCTGCTAATAGTTAAACTATGTTTTTCTATCCTAAAAATATATATATTGTTCCCTAAATAGAGTTATCTTATAACATTCCAATTAAACTAGTTAGTTAAATTCTTTTATAATTCACAAAATGTATTAATCTAATGATTTAACATTTGTATAAATTTGATAGTATCTACAAGAGCATATATATGTTTTTAATGAATTTGTTAGAGTTTAATTATAATGCTTAATTTTAATATAATTTAAAATTATTTGAAGGATGAACAACAAAGAAAAGAAATACTTTCTTTAGTTTTAAGTTCAGAGGAATGCGATAGAGATGTGGACTTACATAAATTAGCTATTAACACTAGTGGATTCTCAGGCTCAGATCTACAAGAACTTTGTCGCATTGCATCCTTATTACGTATAAGAGATTTAATTAAAGCTGAAGATTTAAAAAAAAGGTATTTAAATTTTTTTTTTTACAAAACATATTATAGTAAATTAATTTTACAGTGCAAGTCTTCCAGTCTCTCAATCATCTTTAGAGACCAGTTCAAGTTTACGACCTATAAAGATGGATGACTTGGTTACATCAGTTGCTAAAATGAAAGCTTCAAAAGTAATGTCTACTGCACAATCACGGTTACCTTAAAAGAAAATAATAGTAGTTTGATCAAGAGATCAATAATTATTTAAATCTTTGGTACATTTGGTTGGTGTTGAACAGATATTAACTATTTTTACCAAGGTTAATGTAGACTGATTTAAGAAAATATTTGTTGAATTTTTTCTTTATAATTGCTTAAAAATAAAAATTCATAAATGTATTGTTACATTGAGGTGGATTAATTACAATAATAGACAAAAAAGAATTTCAATATATTAACTGTTGGTAATTTTTTTTAATTTATGTAGTTAAGGTAATCCTATACTTATTTAATTATAAAATTTTTAATTTTCAACATGAACTTTATTGAATTCCTTAAAATATTATCTTGACTCAAAAACCAAAAATTAAGAACTTCGTTTTGATTAATTCATACATCAATATTTAAAGAAGTATTTGTATTTGTTGAATAATTGTTAACTTAGACATAATTTTTTTAATACTTAATAATTGTTAAAATCTAATTATTGAATCTTATAAAAGATTAAGTCATTAAATTTTTAAATCTTAAATGTTAATATTTCTTGTTAATGTATTTCAAGTTATTTTTTAATACTTTTAAGTATTAAATATTTAAAATATGGATATACTGTTGTTAATTAATTGTAAATAATAAAATTGCATGACAAAAAAATCTAGCTTATCTTATTATATTATAGATTACCATTTGTATTTGACAGTGTTTATGGAATTAAAATAAATGTTCCATTTAAAATGCTTACTTATTAGAATTAAACACAAGAGAAAAAAATTCAATAACCCTTATTGAATTTTTAAAATTCATTGTTTACAATTGTGATTTTTGGAATAATGATTATAGAATATTTGAATATAAATAGTATGTAAATAGTCTATTTGTAAGTCGCATACTTTTCTGAGATAATCGTAATAATTTATATTAATACAGTATGGAATTGTTAATAGAAAAAACAATCATAATTTCAAGAAATTTGTTCTTATTGAAAACAGATCAAAATTTTATATTGTTTACACTTATCAATCTTATTAAATATTGAACTCAACTCGATATGGTGAGGTCTTTATAAAGTCGTCAACTTTTCCATTATTATACATTTAAAATATGTGTTTTGGGTTACATATGTTACAATGTAAATTACATCATTTACAAAAATATTATTTCAATTTAAAGATATATAGTTTTTACTAACTTATCACTGAAATTACATGATTTTTAATTACTATTGTGGTATTTAATACCTTATTATATAGATAAAATTAAGAAATTTCTTGATAAATACAAAAACTTGAATAGAACAATACATTTTAATTTTAAAAATTTGTACACTTGTTATGAAACATTAAAAAATGTTGAAATTATTTAACTTTTAACTAATATATTAAATGTATTTATTTAAAATAAATTTTTTTATTAATTCTTTATTGTATTAATTACCGTAAGCGATTCTTAAGGACTTTGGGAAGGATAATCCTGCGGATCTAGTCTTGCAGTTGGGATGGTAACGCACACCATTGATTATACAATCAGTATTTTCCAATTTTTGCGAATGGTAAGCATAAGCAAACTTGATTGCCAACAACGAATAGCCCTCCAAGTGAAAGAGACTTGTTAACGGGTTATACCAAAAGATGAAATTGACCATTCAGGAATCTCTATGACACTAGGTGCACAATAATGTATATAGACTTACCACAGTACAGAGCTCTGTTATGGTGGACCTTTTTCGGTTTCTTGTGAGAACAGGATGGATATACCATAAAAAGGGATAATTTTCTGTGATTAACAACACTAATAGTGGGACACTTAAAAGTGAATCATAAACTAGCAAAAAAATGAAAGTGAAGTCGACAAACAAAATCCAAGAGTCATAAGACCAATTGGTATTGTTACTTTTTATTGAACACGGTTTGCTATGAACACCTATAGATAGTACATAATTTAATAAAATAATAACAAAACTAAAATTTAATTGAATAGAGTACGAAAGGAATGTTTTTCTTTCTAAATACTAAAAACTTTGTTTAAATTTTACATTCGTTTGATGATTTATTTAGTAGCGTTAGTTTTCTTTGGTTAATATTATGCAAAAGGGGAAAACATTTTTTGTAACCTTAACAAGTACTCCTTTGTTAATAAGTCTTCTCTCGAGGAAATATACTATATAAAATGAATATAATTATGTGAAGAAGTAATATATGAAGGGTAAAACTAAATTTCCTTATGTTAGCATCATCTTTATGATAATTCTGAGAATACTTTTGCCTTTAAAATTCAATTTTTAATATTTTATTATTTTTTTTTAATTTTTTTTATTCAAATAACTTTATAAAATTTACATCTATACAAAATATATGCACAACCGTAAATGGGTTAACAGTAGTGAAAAAAAAATTACAATATGACTTGAATAGCATGCAGTAGGGGGGCACCCAATGGAACTACCTACTTCGAATTTTGTTTTTTGATTTCATTTTTTTTTTTTTTTTTTAAAAGAGGTCTCTACACCATTTTCTTTTTAATCTTCTTGGCGGATTGTCGGGGATGTGTTTTGAATAGAGGTATTGAATATTAGGGTTTGGGTGAGAGTTTAATTTGTTATGAAGTTTTAGGCAAGCAGTTTTGGCAATATTGTTAACATAACTAATTTGAAGATCTGAATGGAGAGTTTTATTAGGGACGTACCAAGGGGAATTGGTGAGTGTTCGTAGGCAAATGGATTGAAAGGATTGGATTTTTTGGATGTTGGATGGAGCGGCACAGCCCCAGATTTGAATACCATAAAACCATAGTGGAAAGAGAAGAGTTTTATAGATGAGTGTTTTTAGCTTTAGATTAAGTTTGGAACGTAAGAGAGGGCGAAGTAGATGGAGTCGGGTGTTTAATTGTTTTCTTTTTACAGTTATATGGTCTTTCCAAGTTAGTCGTTTGTCAAAAATGAGGCCTAAGTATTTTACTTTATTATTTTGGGGAAGTAAAGTGTTGTAGAGTTTGACTGGTGGACAGATGTCTGGTCGAAGAGAAAAGGTGATGTGGTTTGATTTGGTTGTATTTACTTTAATTTTCCATTCGGTAAACCATTTTTCTAAAAGATTGAGGTGGTGTTGGAGTTTGAAATTTGTTATTAAGGGATCAGCGTCTGATGCTAATAGGCTTGTATCGTCAGCAAAAGTATTTAAGATTGTGAAGTTAGATGTAGGTATATCAGCTGTGTATATTAAGTATAAAAGGGGGGATAGGTCACTGCCTTGGGGAACTCCGGCGTTTATAGTGAAATGGTTAGAAAATGTGTTGTTTATATTTACTTAGAAAGAACGTTGGTCTAGGTAAGATTTTAATATTAAGTAGTATGGTGTTGAGAAGTTTGATTTTAGCTTGTGGAGTGACCCTTCGTGCCATACCTTATCGAAAGCTTGGGCTATGTCTAAAAAGACACCTGAACAGTATTTTTTTTGTTCAAGAGATGAGGAGATAGCATCGGTGATACGATGGAGTGGGTGTATTGTAGAGTGATTTGCACNTGTGGGTGTATTGTAGAGTGGTTTGCACGGAATCCGAATTGAGAGTGGGGGATGATGTTTTTTATTTCTGAAATATTTTGAAGACGTTTTAATAGTAGTTTTTCAAATAGTTTTCCCAAGGTAGGGAGGAGGCTGATTGGACGGTAAGAAGAAGTTAAATTTTTAGGTTTACCTGGTTTCGGCACTACTATGATTGTTGATAGTTTCCAAAGTGGGGGGAAATGAGAAAGTCTGAGCATGGCATTGAAGATATGGACTATGTTTAGAATAGATTTGCTGGTTAGTTGTCTTAAGATGTTATTTGTTATAAGGTCGTAACCTGGAGCTTTACCGTTCTTTAGTTTGCCAATTGCATATTTAACTTCATTTGGAGAAAAGTGTTTGGGGGGCAGTGTCATTGGTAGGGGGCTATCTAGTGATTTGTTGATTTTGTTTATATGGTTGGCAGAGGGGTTTATGTTGTTGAGTTTAAATACTTCATATAGGTATTCAGCAAATGAATTAGATTTGTCTATGTCAGATACTGCTAATTGGTTGATGTTTAGTTTTATTGGCGGTATTAGTTCTCTATGTTTTAATATACTTTTTGTTTTACGCCAGAGAGAGCAGTTAGATGTTTGGAGTTTGATGATATTATTTTCGTATCGTTCTGTGTTGATTTTGTAGAATTCTTTTTTTAGTTTGTTTGAAATAATGTTGAGTGCATTTTTGTCGGCAGGGTGACGAGTTGATTGCCATCTCGCTCTGGCTCTCCTTTTTTTTGCTAGCATTTCTTTTAGAACTATTGGGATGTTGTTGGATTTGTTAGGATATTTAGAGGGGGAAGAAGAAACAGTTATTGAGTTTTGAATATTGGAAGTTAATTGGATTACAGCATTGTCAATGTCANTAATTATGTTATTATTTTTAATATAACTATTTATGTTGAAATTAGATAAAACCTATATAGAATATACAATAATTTGTCTTGAATAATTTCAGTAGTGGCATAAAATTTGAAAACACTATTTTTAAAAAAAAAATGGGTTTGTTACGCTTTTTGAAATTGGAATATCAGAAATTCAACAAAAAAGTGTATAGTACGTATGACATTTAATACATCATACTATTATTTATTAAGTAAAATTTGAAGGTAAACTATAGATACAAACAAATTTAATACATTTTAATTAGACTTTATAATTTTTTATTTCCTAATTATAGGTTCTTTTAAGCCTTTTGATAAGGAACATATTTTAATACCTCATAATGGTTATGTGAGATATTATACCATAAATGCAGCGCAATTTAATGTTGTTTTTCATTAAACATTGCGTTACAATCATACCGTATTAAAAGCTATACACATTGTTCAACCTTTAATCATAAGTAATCAATGGATATCCAATTACTACGAGCGTATAAAAATAGGGACCTTTTTCCAATTAAACTGTAAAAATGTTTAATTAATGCTAAAGCTCTTCTTTGAACAACTGTCCGAAGCTGCAACAATTGCGTATCCAACCAATTCATCTCGAAGGTCGTTGCCATCCACGTCTTTAAGACTACTGTTGCTTATCATTGTCCAATCACTCAATGCTATTGGAACAATAGGTTGAGATGGAGATGGCAAATTATTTGGTTTTTTACCAATTACGCTCCACCAACGCCAACACCAGTGCCCGTTGTCATTCAGGCTGATTGTAGCCTGCCCGATTGACACCCGCCTGTACTTTGGACGGCCACCTCCTGGCCCGGTGGTAGTAGTCGAGCTGCTCCGCCGACGCAGACTCCGCTGATGATCGGTCCATCCACTGCCACAACACCGTAGCACCGTTTCCTATGGGTACAAAATAAAAAACACTGTTTCTCTGTTAACACATTTCGTATGAATCAAAAAAAATAATAATAATAGGTTGAAATTTTATTAAATAATGTTATTGTTAGGGTGAATTTCAATATTAAGGAGCAAAATCTACGTATATTGACAACATAAGTCATTCAAAAATTCTTTTTATTTCTAACTTTAGTAGTTTTTCATCAGAAATATTAATATTTACAACAACTTTGAATTGAATACCATTTGATAATCGATAATTTGGTCAAGCGGTGATGTGACATACGAATATTTTATATTATAAGCTTGTTGAAAGCTTATAAAGACGAAGAAAAATTTTTTAAAGAACCCCTTTTTTTGATCATCAATTTTCGTAAATTATTATCAATTATCTCATCGATTATTCAATAAGTAATCCTGTAAACCTAAGCTAAAAATATTTCTAAATATAAAGTATTTAATTTAAATTTATTATTAATCTAAAAATTTATAATTTCAAAGAAAATTAAAAATCATAAATTAATAAATTGTTAAAGTAATTTAACATGTATTAAATAAATAATAATATATAAAATGTATAATTCTTTGGGTTAAAGTTGACACTTAAATTAAGATTAAATTACTTACCTATTGAGTATTTATTGTTAAAAATAAAAATTAATTTTTTTTATTTATTTGAAAGTTTAAAAATAAAATTGCAATTGAAAATGTAAGCAAAATATGGTAATATGTTTGTACATACCTTGAAAGCAGCCCTAAACTTGAGTGACATGATATGGTAAAGAATGGGATTTATAGTAGTCGACATGTAATATAAAACGCCTGATATATACGTGGAGATTCCATATAGCTGATGAAGGAATTCTTCCCCAATATCTCCAGTTGATGCTTGACTAACTCCAAATATGGCTATCAGTCGTTGAGCATGAAATGGTGCCCAACAAATAAAAAACGCAACCACGACAGCGACTGAAAAAAAATCTTTAATTATTCTAGGATTTTATGAGAAATATACGAAACAAAATATTTTTCAAGTTAAGTTTTAATATACTCTAATATAGTATGTTTATGATTCATAGTTTGAACAAATATTCAAAAAGGGTATAACTCGGTTTAACAATATAACTATATATATATAAATATATAATATAATATATATAGTTATAGGGAAGCTCTAATTTAGTTGTTACATTAACATAATTTCAAAACTTTTTTAAAGTTTTGAAAAATATTGACCGAATTTGACAAAATTATGAATAATTATAATTATTTTAGATTAATAATTGGTTTACAATATTTTTTTTAAAACATTAAACAGGACCTTAACTTGTTCACTTGTATGTATATAAATAGTTTATAAATATAATTATCCACCTAAAAATTTTTTGGTTAATATCTCACAGATCAACCAAATTGAAATTCACAGTATTACATCGCTTATAGTAAAAATTAAGATTAATTGCATAAATAGAACAATTATTTATTATACTATCAATTAGTAATATTAGTTATAATTAAAACTATTTAAAGTAATCATTATATTAATTAGGGACAATTTTGGATAACGTTTCTGAACTAATGTAGAGCCTAGTTAACTTGAAATGTAACGAAGGTAATATTATCATATTTCAGAAATTAAGTTTTTCCTGAAACCTGTCTAGAACTTCATTGGACGATAGCTAGTTGAAATCAACTAAGTCAATTTTGTAATTTTATTATTATTTGATAATCATATTTCAATATTATTAAAATATTGATTATTTTATATGTTTATTTAATATACAGGGTGGCCCACCACTCACTGACAACTTAAATAACTTTTGATCCAGTTAATATTTTTAGCTGATTTTTTTTTTTNTATCTTTTCAATATACTTTTGAATGAGAGTGATAAGTAATAATTGCCTTATCTAATTTCTTATCAAGATATTAATGCCAAGTTTGTAATGTTACACATTATCATCATATGTATACACAGTAATCATGAAAAGATAGGATTTTCTTCTGTCTTTTTCTCAATACGTATATCAATGTTTAATACCGTAAAATAATACATGAAAATTCAAATTTTCACAAACTTCAAAACACTACAGAATATTTACTATTGAATATTAATAAGATATTTTTTTACTAAAATTTTTCTTAAATTCTACTCTACAAAATAGCTATCTTAGATTTTTTTTTTACATTTTATTTAAAATTTAAAAATAATTAATATTTTTAATAAAATGTAAAAAAATTAATTATTGAGATATAGCTATAGACCTAACGTATAACTATTATTTAAAAAAAAAATCAACTAAAAATATTAACTGGATCAAAAGTTATTTAAGTTGTCAGTGAGTGGTGGGCCACCCTGTATACATTTAAAATATGGGAAAAATAATTTTTTAGTATGTAAAATCGTTGTTTTAAATGACTTTTTCCAATAGAAAAAATTGTCATAAGATTAATGTCGATAAAATATCGACTACTGTTTTGTTTCTATGTCTTACCTAATATTTTTAGGGCGCAATTGTGGTTTTCGTTTCATGGTTTGATTATCTTCTTTGATAAAGTCAATATAATTGACTAATATTAATAATTTTAAATTACTGTTACTTTTATTTTTATTTTTCTTAGCTTGATTTTCAGCTCTAGTATAGATTTTGACAATGTGATTGAAGGAAAAATCAATAAATTTATTCAAATAGTTTCTTAAATGTTTTATTTAAATATAGATCGCATTAACTTAATCATTTTTATAATTGTTTAATAGTATACAATAATAATAACAATTGAGAATGGTGTAGCCTAGCGGCAGTGCTTGATGCGCACTGTCTTGGGTTTGAGACTCAGTCACGGACGGATTGAGCGAGAGAACTATTTAGTAAAAGGGGTGTCATCCCCTATCTCCGGCGACGGACTAACCATCCATCTTGAAGTATCCATCGTTAAAAACCCTCTTCTTCAGGGGAGGACGTTATAGCCCTTAATGGGCTACAAAAAACGTAAAAACTTTTTTTATTTTTTGCAATACTAAAGAAAAATGAGTTTTTATAAAATTATATGTTTATCATTGTGTGCGAATAAAATTATATAGTTTTAATAAAATATAGTTATGCTACAATAAGGTAATATTATTATATTAAATATTTAAAAACCATAGAAGATGTTTTACTCCTTAATAGAACCAAATCATCTTAATATCAATCATTAGGATACTGAGTTTCAAATAATAAAACTTCTGCCCTTCTAACCTATAGTATATAGGATTTTTTAAAATTAAGAAAACTAATCAATTGTTATGAACAATAGAAACCCCTAACTATTTTATTTTCAATAGCGTATTACTCACTCTGTGTATAAAATGTATGATAAATATTCCATTACTGCTATTGTATAAATTATACACATTAATAATGTAGTTGACATTAAAATCTGCACTGATTGATCTCATTTGAAAATAAATTTTTAGATTCTAAAAATTATAAGAAGTTTCTTCTAAAAATGTAATGCGATTGCTTTGATAACACTTAACTGTACGGCTTTGTCACATGGTTTGGTAAATTTTTGAACTTTAATAGTAATAAATACTAGAACATTTTTTCATTATATTAATGTCAAATATCAATATTCAAATATATTAATAAATTTAGTTGAAATTCAGTAGAAAGATTTATTTTTATGAATAGTATAGTTCATATAATTTAAAGATATTTTGGTTTTTATTATTAATTTTTTAATCATTTAACCAGTATAGTAAAATAAAAAAGATAATCTGATAATATCTATAAATCGCAATTTAATAAAGAAAAGTTTATAATTAAATGAAAAATATTGTATTTCTGTCAAAAAGTTGAGTGATTACTTTTTTTTTTATTATATTCATTTTGTTTCAATACGATATGGTAGTTTAGTTTAATATCTACAACAAAGTCAGTTGTTTCGGTTCAAAGATTTTGTTTTAAGTCTACCGGAACGTGGTTAAGTTTATAAGACTACACTCCAAATAATGTAATAGAAATTCTTATAGTAAAGAAAATTTATCATACAAAAATGTATACAGTTGCACAAATAAAGAATAATGTTACTTTAGACTTAACTATTTTTAATTTTAATATTTAATATTGTATGTTTATGATTTAATACAATTATATGATTTTAGTTAGATAATTTTGATTTGTTGTATTGTAAATATATATATATATATTTAGTAATTTTTTTGAATAATTTGAGTTTGAAGCTTTAATGTAAGTAATTTGGTAAATTAATTAGGATACTTATACACATACAATATAAGTTAAATCTTAAAAACTATTTTTTCATATAATTTTTTTTTTCAGATTTTCTAGTGTAAGAAATAAGTTATACAAAAAAAAATGTTTACATACCTAACATTTTGAGTACCTTTGAAGATGAATTTGCCCTGTATTCAGGTGATGATATTTTCTTTTCGCCAGTAGTCGATCGTATGGTCACTGTTCTTTTTAATCGATCAGATCGTCGTAACCTTAAACCGATTAGTGCATAGAGCACTGTAATTACAGTCATAGGTAATACAAAAAACAACAGCGTAGACAGTGTAAACGATACTGTGGATAGACTTAAATTGGAGTCCATCAAAAAAATTTCACGAATGTTACACTGAGCCATTTCTGGCGAATCATCCCATGACGATACGGTGAACTGTAGAGCCTACAATAAAAAAAAGGTTACATAAGAATTCTGAAAATATACCATAAAGTAATATTGTACCATATTTATTGCAGTGTTTGTAAGCTTAAGCTAAATTTTTGAGTTAATATTTAGTTAAATTTATCAGTAAGGCATTATCAAAATAATTATAATGTATATGATAAAAATAATATTGTGTTTTTTTTTTAGTAATTTTTTCTGTCTTTTTGAATTAAATATTTTCAATATTTTTTAATTTCAAATTAGTATTTTTAATATAATTTTAGTTTTAAATAATATTAGCCACAAGTAATAAATTTTGATTATATAATATAATATGAATATTTCTTAACATTTTTTTGCGTTTCTGTTGGATTGAGCATACATAAAAGAGTTCGTAAAAGGTTTTAGATCGAATAAATGTAATTTTTGTTCAAAGTTTTTTGCACTATTATCTGATATAAAAATGCACGAGACAGTACAAAATGATGACAAATTGTATGGATGTGATGTTTGTCAAATATGATTTGAGCGTTCTGTTGATCTATGTGTAAACGCCAGAAAATATATCAGAGAAAAACCTTATAAGAGCTGAAATTGTTTAAAAGTAGAAATCATTTTTAACCACACGTCATTAGAAGAGACGAGAAATATGAATTTATGTATCTAAACATTACACTTGTATAGTTTATCCAACCAAACTTAGTCAATCCAAATTCTTTTATAACTACAAATTACACAATAATAAAAATTATTTTAGACAAAAAATAATATGTTTGTATTTGGTATGTTGATATGTACAATAAATATACTGTATAGATAAATAATTTATTGTAATGATATAAAAATTTTTAAATATTATTTAAAATTAATTTTAGTAATATGTAGTATACTTTATTTACCGATTTTTTGTAAATTAAATCAAAAACAATTTTATTAATATCATTTTAATCAAAATTTGTATAGTATATATTACCCAAAAACGTATGGATTGTTATTTTAATATAAACATAATTTTCAAATTATTACAATAGTAGTTTATACATATAAATAAATAGTTTTGATAAAATAATTAAAATATTATCTTAATTTTGTTATTTACTTGTGGTATAGCAAACAACACTGCCACCAGCCATATGCCAATGATCAATTTAACAGCTCTAGACAACTTTGACATACTTTGAGCCATAAATGGATGACAAATAGCCACGTAACGTTCTGCTGTGAATGCTGTTATAGTAAGAACAGTCGCATTTGCTGACATTTCAGCAAACAACCCCCTAAGTTGACAAAAAATCTCACCAAAAATATAAGGGTATCTGAAAAAAAATCAATTACGTTTTTACTAATTTGATAAATAAAAATTGAAAACTTCATTTGATTGAAATTTTATTTATTTATTTACTTAACACAAAAGATTTAAGTACAGTAATTAATTAAAAACATATTTAAACATAATACAGTACCCTGCCATATTATTAGACACAAACTATAAATTATAGTTTGTTTTAAAGTTGTTATTATACATTTTCGTAATTATACTACTAGTAATTTTATTTCAAATCTTAGTAGTACTTAATTATTGTTTTTGTAACATTGATTATATATGTAGTCGGTTGGTAACACTATTCTACAATAATAATATCGTATAACGAAAAAAAAGTGGATAGTTATATTGTAAATTTAAATAACTTTTACAAAATTAAATAATTAAGAAAAATATTTTATTGTGTTAAGTAAGTTCATTTTTTAGGAATATTTTCTTTTTAAAGCTTAAACAGAAATTTTACTAAGATTTTTGCAGAATATCCTGTTTAAAATGAAAATTGGTCAAATCCGTCATGTTAAAAGCTCAAAATTTAACGCTATTCCAAATAGCTGAAATCACTAGAGTTTCTCGTAGTTCAGTAAAAAATAAAAAACGAAAAATAAATTTTAGAGATAATTTGAGAGCTAAACGTAAAGGTGCAAGCGGTTGTCCAAGGATTACAACAAAGAGAAGTAACAGGATAATCCGAAAAATGTGTATTGAAAATCGAAAAAAGTTGCCTCCTCAAATTAAAAAATGGTTTGAGAGCCAATTTAAATGATGATGCACAATGCCACCGTGCTAAACAAAACTATGTTTTTAGTTAAAAAAATGTTGATATTCTTGATTGGTTTGAAAATTCGTCCGATATAAATTACATGGAGAATGTTTAGGAATTTATAAAGTCTGAAATTAGTAAAGAAGCTCCTATAATTAAACAGGATGTTATTCAGATATTTAATTATATAATCATACTGGATACATAGGCCAGTTATAAAAATGAAAATTGAAAATTGTGTAAAGAGTATGGCATGTCGCATTCAAGCTATGTTGGCTGCTAAAGGCAGTTATACAAAATACTAATTCTAACAAAAAATTATACTTAAATATAGTGAAAAATTATTTTTTATAATTCACTGTTGTTTCAACAATATGTGATGTATAGATAATTTTCTATGTTTATTTGAATACAAAAGTTTTTTAATTAATTATTATCTACCTAAAAGTTAGGCAATATTGATTTTTGTATTTGGGACTAATAATATAAAAGGGTACTGTAGAACTTAAAAATAAAAATGAAAAGCTATAAGATTGAAGAGATATAATTTTAAGAGGAATAATTTAAATAATATCAGACAAACCAAACCCCGTTTTTAATAAATCGTATAAGTTGTTAATATTACTTAAAAAAAAAAAATAGATTACCATATCATACAGAGTGATTCGTTCAACGTTAATCACTAAATTCTCATAAAGTTGACACTCTTATGAGGTATAATGGATGAATTAAAAAACAAATATTATGTATAGGACTAAAGTATTGTACTTAGAGTTTACCTGGACCATATTGACCACATTTCCTGCGGTAGACCAGAAACAAGAAGTATGAGATCAGATATAGCTAAGCTGAATAAATAATAATTTGTGGCTGTATGCATATATTTGTGTTTGGCGATCACTAAACACGTGATAGTATTACCAATGACGCCAGTAACAAATATTACTGAGTAGACGATTGTCATGGGTACTACTATGTACAATGGATCTCGTTTGGGCATTATGAAACTACCTTCCCATGGATCTTCAGTACTCATATTTTGTTGATTTCCACTGTCACTGCCGCCACCATCATCCAATGGCATTATGCAAAAACACTGTAAGAAACATTACTAGTTAAAAATAGTTTATTTTCATTGAAATGTGATAATCATTGTTTCTGATTAATTACTTTGTGTCTATGAAAGTGTAAAATCTAAGTACTACTAAGTAGATTTAATTATAAATTGTATTAAAAATTAATTCATAAATATTCCTAGATTTAAATTTTACGGTTTAATTCTAAATTATTAATGATTCTAAAAAAATTCTGTTTTATTTTTATCACTTTTTGTCAGAGTATAAAAATATTAGGATATTTCGACACGATGGAAAATTTAATATTCTGCTTAGTATTCAAAATATAGTGTGGAGATTTAGGAAGCATATAATCCTCAAACAACGAATATTGCATTTTATAAGGTAAACGTTAAATTAGCTATGGTTATCCTTGATTTTGACTTAAAACCAATGTCATAATATATTATATTTGCTTAAAAATTAGTTTCAATACTTTATCAAGTGAGCAATAAAAAAAATTGGGAGTAAAAAAAATAACTATAATCATATTGTATTGCAGGTTTTTCATAAACGCTTTCATTTTTTAAAGGCCATTTAGGTATTTTTATAATTTTAGTTTCGATGCGAAGCTGAAAAAGTATTAATTTTACTATATGTTTTTTTTTTAATTTTTAATTTTTTTTTTGTGTCTGTGAACGCTCAATCTCAGCTCTCGCTGGACCGATTTTGATGAACAATACGTCAAAATATCAAAAATCGTATCTAATCGAAGATATTATCCTCAAAAATTGAAAAAAAATTTATTTTATCAATTAAACAGTTACTTATCACATGTTCTCCATACAGACAATTAAAATCATTCATTTATAATGTTTTCAAAGTATTTAATTGATATAATAATTTGATATTACAAAAATAAATCATTTTACTTTGTAATTTAATAATTTTTTACTCTAATTTACTCTAATTGTGTGTGCTACTACTAGACTATAATATTCCAAATTTTTTGGTAACATGTTGCTATATAAATTATTTCTAAAAAAAGTTATTGTTAGTTTCTCCTGAATTAAGAATGGATTTTTACAATTATAATAGGTTCTATTGAGTAAATCTTTTTAACAACTTTTTTTTTATTAATTTCTTAAGATTAAACACTATCTACAGTTTTGCATCGAAGCGTTTCTTATGATAGTGATTGTAATGTCAGATATCATCTTACTTGTCCCAAAAATGCAATGTCCATACTGTACCGCTATCCCACTGTGGTACCGTTTTTTTTTTAACATAAATAATTTTAAAATAATATTTAACTTAAATGTCAAAAAATAAATAAAATAAAGATTGTGGTTAAAAAAACTTAATATAGCATAATATTATACTTTTATAATTGAGTATAAGTTGTTTATTTATTTTTAATATTCTTTGGCATCAACCTAACATTTTAATAGTTTTATTGACTTTAGATTATTATTATAAAGTTTAAATATAAAAACATCGACAAGTGTATAAATTTATAGTAAAATAATTCAGCACAAGTCGTGACTAGTAGTCATTGTAATGTAATAATGATTTAAATTACTATTATTCAATTAAATAAAACTTTATAGGAATGTGAATGTTGAAAGTAAAATTATTCACATGTTTGTTTAAATTTTAAAATAAGTTCTTTTCGTCAACGATTTATTTTTAGAATAAAGGTCATTCTTCGATTTTTATTATTTCTTTACCGAAAAATAGATTAGTATACTTAAGGTTCAATTTTTTATAGTATTTAAGTATACTTTAAAATTATTATTTTTCATCACAAGTTAATCATAGGATCAATATAAATTACATATCAACTTAATTAAAAAGGTTTAACTGTACTTAAATTTTTATTTTTATTTTAGAGGTATATATTATATAATATTATTATAATATAGTAAGTCTTCAAACTTTATCTAAAAGTTGATTTTTATTTGATATAAAATCATGATTATAATTTGGAAATGTTATTATTTTTCTAGGTATGGACATTCTGTACATCATGTTTGAATTATAAAAATGATAATTTTAACAGCCAAATTTATTTTTTATAAATATTTACAATAAAATAATTTTTAAGTAAGAAAACATAATGCGATTTGTTCATTGCTACAATTTAACTTCAAAAATTTCTATTAACAGGGTTGATGAAATTTTTTAGCTACGATGTGAAACTGAGAGGCATTAATTTTACTATGATGTGTTTATTTAGTTGTTTTTTTTTGTGTCTATCGTCACTTTGTCTCAGATCTTACTTGATCGATTTTAATTAACGATATATTATAAGATCAAATATTGAATATTGATGAAAATATTACCTTTCAAAATGACATAATATCTCTTGTTTCCCATAATAGGGAAAAACCTCAAAAAAAATTCAATTTTAAAAATTTCAAAATGTGCATTTTTTACATTTTTTTACTTAAAATTATTGTAAAATGTTTGAAAACAAATTAATTAATACCAAAATTTTTAGAGCGATTTGTTTCTTTTATTAGGCATAATTTTTTTGAAAATCTGACCTCTTACCTGTACTAAAGAAAGGGTTACAATAGCCACTTAATATGAATAAAATACTTTTTCTGAAAATACTATATAAATACATAAAAACACATATTAAGGAATTTTTTCAAATAAAATTTTTAAAGTAAATTGTCCTAATGACTTATTTTTTATAAGAAGACAGCACCCAAGTTGAACAAAAATTCTGATTTTTTTTTAGATCAGCATGATAACATGCACTGTTTTTCGTATTTTTATGAATTTTTATAATTATTTTTTTTTCATTTATGATGCCAAATTTTAGGTTAAACAGTGTATATGTTTAGAGAATGGTTGTACTGTCCCATTAAAGTATAAATAAATTAAAATTTAAGGGTTGAAAATTATGAATATAATTAGGAAAGATTTTTGTAATTTTTAGTATTCATTTAATAAAAATATTAAGTGGAAGGTCTCTCTCTTCTAAAAACAATTGCTCTAGGTTTATAACATATTTTTATTTTTTAATATATCATATATAATAATTATTTAAATACAATTTGTTATGTATTTTATTAAATTAAATGTATTAGCTTAATTAAAATTTTTATTTTTAATTCTAATTAATACGTTTAGTGTTATTGACAATAAATTTCATTACTCATGAAGATTAATAACAAAACGTTTATTTTGCCACCTCTATGAAAATATTGAAAAATTAGGCTTACGCAATTTTTCACGAAGAAGAAACGTATATTCCTTTTTGCTTAGATAGAAATTAATTGTTTTTGAAAATATTTCGTTTCTATTTGAAATATAAGAGTTTTTCATCAAAGAGGTGTAAAATAGTAATAATGTATTTTTCAAAAAAAAAAAATATTCTTATGAATTTCTTTTGAACAGGTTTTTATTTTATAAAAAATAAAAAAATATCTTTTTATATCATAAATAACCATAATTATTGGATAAATTTTCACATATGTTATTTCAGTGAGCAAGATAATGCGCTGCAGCATTTAAGTACACAAGAGCAAAGGGATTTACTCAGTTGAACGCAGAATGAGTATTTATACCTTTATCTATTTTATACTAATTATTTATTTATAGCAAAAAATATTTAGATTAAATGTTTTTAATTAAATATTATATTGTAATGTGTTTTGTGTTTTATTTAACATGTATTAATTCTTTCAATTATTCAGTGAATTATTTATCACAATAATATCTCAAAATGTCTTTACTTTTATGTAATTAATTACAATAATTTCAGAATAATTCTATACCTACAGTTTATATCTTAAAATCGTTATAATTTCCTAATAAATTAGTACAAAAGTTGCTATCAACCAAATATTCTCCTAATTAGATAATTTCATATTATATAAGATAGTTAAATATTTATGTTGTCTTAAAAAAAAAAATTGATACTCTTATATGTTAAAAAAGATGATGATAAAACGTAATTAATATCGTAATAAATCAAGAAATATACAGAGGATCGGTTTGTCATAAACAACTATCAAAATAAATACAATAGTGAACAAAATTAGTTTGATTTTTTTTTACTTACATACATTTCTTAATTTATCAGTTATTAATAACTTTTTAGGATTATCCCTTTATGTATAAGGTAGTTAATTTTATTTTTTTAATAGTAACATACATATTTAACCAGCTTAAAAACAGGATATAAATTATTATTATTGAAAATAATTATTCTAAATAATCTAATTTATAAAATGACTGCCTGATATTAACCTTTGAATCAGTACTTTGGATGTCATTATCATTTTTATACTTAGGCGGGACGAAAAGTACGGAAAATGACTAATGATAAAAGTAGTGGTACTTAATCCTCGCCCTCATTTATTGTTTTAAATTGTTAATAACTACTGAAATACTGGTCCCAACGTTGTTATCGACCAGCCATTTTCTTAAATAGATTATTTCCTATTTTATAAGCTAGTTAAATGTCGGTATTTCAAAAAATAAAGGTGACAAATTTTAAAGCTATAAGGGTTGATTATAAAAAGTAATTATTAGCTGGTAAATCAAGGAATATATGTAACTAAAAGAAATCAAAAATTATTTGTCCAATTTCGTATTTATTTTGTGAGTAATCGAGTGGTTTATAATAAACCAATCACTTGTATCTAATAAAAAAAAAACCATTTTAAATTGTATTTATTTTGCGAGCAATTGATAAACGGGATCGTATATAAAGTAGTAAAATAGAAGTGCTACAATTATTGTTGATTAGTACCATTAAGTGTTTTGAGTTATCCATGTTTAAAAAAACCCAGGAAATTAATTCTGAATTCATAATTAATTTAGTAAAATTAAAGTACAGTTAAATTTATACTTTCAACATCACCACTAAGTGTTTATGCAGGTAAGTATGCTGTTTATAGAAAGAATAAACAACATTTCACCTTAGTCTTATATATATAAAAGTTCATACTAACAAATTGTTGTATTATATTATTTTGTGTTGGTCTATCAACACTCATATAAATAGCTATTTAAGAGTTAA